TATTTTATACTGAGTATAGGCCATGTAGTACAGAAGACCCTACTACTCTGAAAGAGTTTGAAATTCTAACATTAATAAACTTTGCCTATAATCCCATTAAAAATAAATTTTCATAATAATGTAGTAATACTATCAAATAAGCCCTTCCAAGTACAGAGGCATCAGACTCAGAGGGAAATGATACTAAGAGATCTTTTAATAGAATTTAAAGAACTTTTAATAGATTTTCAAACTAGGTATTTCAGAGAATAAGGGTCTACTATACTTGCTGTACTATAAATTTCCTCTCCTTTCTGCACCAGTCTTGATATAAAGATCCTAAACAAAAAGTCAAATGAACCAGGAAGTGGATACAAGAGACCTAGTGATACATATGGTTCCAGCTTCGGAATATTCCTCCATCTTTACATCCCTGCCTATTTCATAGTCATTAAGCCCTGGAAGGAAAAATACATAAAGAAAAGCAAAAGTGACACAAGTCTAACCTTTTTCACAATTTTGCATGAACGTTCACTTTGAGTTGGGGGGTATCTTTCAGAAACCTTGATGAAAAGCTACAGAAATATATTGCATGTGTAAAACCAACAAACGGCTGTGACATTTTGTTTTTAGATAATTGTCACTATAAAAAGTCTTCCACATATCAAAAGATATAGCGTGTGGGGTCTTAAAAGCTTGAAGGTAAACAAGCGGCCATCTAGCTCAGAAGCAACAAAGCCCACATAGAAGAACATATCAGCCTGTGTGATCACGAGGTGTCGAAGGGATCACTGAAGACAAATGGGTGCATAAGCAAATGTGGCGAAGAAAGCTGATGGTGCCCGGCTATCAAAAAGTATAGCATCTGGGGTCTTAAAGGATTGTATGGATTGTGATAAGAGTTGTATGAGCCCCTAATAAAATGATTAGAAAAAAAAAAGTCTTCCACAATGGATGGATGGATGGATTGTGATAAGAACTCTAAAAGCCTCCAATAGAATGATTTTTGTTCTAATTGGGGAAAAATTAAGTTTTTATTGTGGGGAAATATCTGTAGTAAACATTATAGCCATTTTTACTTGAATAAATCAGCGACTTAATGACATTCTCACACAAGCACACACACACACACACAAAGTCTTCCAAATAAGTAATGCTTGTCATCACTATCTATTGTTCTTAGATTTCAAAAGGAAATAAATTCTTCCTTTCTCACCTCCATCCCACCCCCCCACCACCTCTTCTTTTCTTTCGTTTCTTTTTTTTTGGTCCTGGGAACTAGGCAGCTGAAAAATTTTCAGGTTCATTTGAAGCAAACGAACACTTCAATATTATCCCCAGAAGATAGTGTCAAGAAAAAATATTAACAAACCAAACAAAAGTTTTCTTTTTTCCTTGACTGTAAAAAAAGGAAACCGCTCGCTCTTAAAGAGAATACAGATAGTCTGTGTCACAATGGATTCACGTAAACCACGATCTGCACTTTCAAGCATCTGTTGTTGTTGTTGTTGTTTTGTACATCCTTATCATCAGTACTGTATTTCCACAAACATCATGTGCCCACTTGCTATATTGGTCTGTCAACTTCATCCTCCTTCTGTGAGGTATTTTAAATGCTATGCCAATTTTTGTATGTGCTGCTGAAAAAAATCGGTATGGTGCATGTATGAAACTATCTGGGGAGGAGGAACAGAGCAGCTGGCGAGCATGGAAGGCTCACGTTACTTGCATAAAACCACAGGAACATGTATGGTGAGCATGGAAGGCTCACGTTACTTGCATAAAACCACAGGAACATGTATGGTGAGCATGGAAGGCTCACGTTACTTGCATAAAACCACAGTAACATGTATGGTGAGCATGGAAGGCTCACGTTACTTGCATAAAACCACAGTAACATGTATGGTGAGCATGGAAGGCTCACTTTACTTGCATAAAACCACAGTAACATGTATGGTGAGCATGGAAGGCTCACGTTACTTGCATAAAACCACAGGAACATGTATGGTAACAATACAGTGTTAAAGTAAATCTTTAAGTTTATATGTAATGTTTCCAACCCATAGACACACATAAAGATAGGATTTACAAAACTACTGAAAATAAAAGGTAATAACAGTGAAAACTAAAAACAACAACAACAAAACACTGAGGTATTCGATCAACTTACATCCAAACTAAAATATTAAACTCACTGCCTTCGAGTCAATACCAACTCATAGAGATCCTATAGGACAGTGTAGAACTGGCCCCTATGAGTTTCTGAGACTAACTCTTTCTGGGAGTAGAAAGCCCCGTCTTTCTCCTGTGGAGTAGCTGCTGGCTTTGAACTTTGGGCCTTGTGGATCACGGCACAACACATAACCACTAAGCCAGGGCGTCTACAACAGAATTGCTGGAACCGAACCCTGTCATAAGCTGGAGAATACTTGATGTTTCCAAGGTTCTCTAGTGAACTGAGGAGAACACAAACAATGATATTGTTTAGAGAATTCAAAAGTAACATAATTTTTGCTGGTCATCCAAGCTTTACATTAAAATGCACTGGGAACAGAGAATGCTGTTGCAAGGATTCCTAGGATTTCTGAATATTTTATCGATTTCTTAATAATATCATCTGTTAACATGTAGATCTTGGATTTTTGCCAGAGATGAAATCCTAATCCTAACAATCCAGACCAAACAAATAAACAAACAAACAAGAAGCATTGTTGATTCCTTTAACTCTTTCATGGACTTCTTACAGCAATGTTGTTTGATAATAGAGCTCTTATCCAAGCCTCAAATGACCCTCAAGCACCCAGCTCAAGCATTAATTTGTGTCCTGTCACTGGCTGGCAATGGAATTCAGACCAGAGCCCTGGTATGCCCACTACAGTACTGATACTGAGAAATGTCTGCCGTTTAATGCACTAATTGTTCAGTATTCATAACAGGAAGAAAGGTTTGCTAATATATCAGTTAAGAGCCTTGAAATCAGTTCCCAATTTGTAAGTATTATTTCCGGAAATAGATCTAAATACAAATCTAATGTTTTGCTTTGCAAGAACAGATGGTGAGAGGAAATGTTCTTGAAGCTATTTATTAAATTTAATGACTCTGCTCCCTGCATACTCTTGATATATTCTACTTATACTTAAAGTCCCTTATTAATTTGGCTTCTCTAAAAATGATTCATCTTGAACCTTTAGTGTACATAAAAGTTTCTTGTGGAACTTGTTTAAATACATTCCTAGAGGTTCCGATTCGGAAGATCTCAGGCAGCATCTAGAAATCTGTCTTTTTCAGTCAAGGACCTTAGGTCATTATGGTGCCATTCATTGGTACCCACATCCTGAGAGGCACTAGTTTTAACTGAAAAAATCCATATATTATACAGAGATCACTGCCAAATGGATCACTATTTTAAAAGAAAAGTAAAACTATAAAAGGTTCAGAAGAAAACATAAGAGAATTGTCTTAACAGCTTAAATCTTAATGATTCAAAATGCAGACACAATAAGATAAAAGTTACAAATCTGACTACATAGAAACAAAACATACTCTGCATGGTGAAATATAAATATACAGCAGGCAAGAAACAGGGGGAAATACTTACAACGTATAGCACCCACTTTTGTGTAAAAGAAATAAAATTAAGAGTCTATATTTGCATTTGTTTGTGCATGCATACAGGAAGTCTGGAAGTACCCACAGAAAACTAAGAACAGTAGTTTCCTATGACATAGGCTGAGCACTAACTAGATGGATGATAGGACTGAGAGGGTCCCTTTTCACTGGATAACTTTTGATACTTCAGCTTTTGAGCCAGGTGGCTATAGTTCTCTAAACTCAAACTCAATGCTGTCAAGTCGATGCCAACTCATAGGGACCCTATAGGGCAGTGTAAAACTGCCCCTGCACGTTTCCAAGACTGTAACTCTTTATGGGAGTAGAAACACTGCCTTTCTCCCGAGGAGCAACTGTGGTTTTGAACTGCTGACCTTTAGAGTCGCAGTCCAACACACTACCACTATGCCACCAGGGCTCCTTGGCTACAGTATATGTCTGAAAAAATAAAATTTTAAAAATCCCCTTCTGTCATACAGCTTGCTTTCCAGTGCATACAGACTAATAATAAACAAATAAATATATACTTTAGGCCCCAGTGAGAACAAAATCCATGAGTACACATCAGTTATTTGATATATTTCATCATGCTTTATAGTGCTTCATGAAAAGTGAAGCACGTTGCAACAGCTCAATAAATACATTAGTAACAAATATGAAATAACTTCCTTTAAGTTCTGTGTTTGATCATATTATTTTTCTACTGACATTGCAAAGTAAGGAGGTAAACCATCAGTTGTAAATATAATTGTTTTAGGCTGGGCTCTCTAGAGTAGCAAAATCAGTGAAATATATATATATATATATACACACACATATATATATACACACACATATATATAACATTTATTTATATTATACATTAAATTATATACTGTTTTATATACAATGTAATATTTATGTCACAGATAAAAATGTGTGCTATATGTTTATCTATATTATTTTATATAATCTATATTACTTATTTCGAGGAAAAGGCTCAAACAGTTGTGAAGGCTGGCCTGTCCCAAGTCTACGGGTCAGGTGCCAGGCTGGAGGTTGCTCTTAACTCATGTAGCTTCTAGGACAGACAGATTCAAGATAGACAGGCAAGATGTCGGGCTTCTGGCTCACAAGCTATGGAGGTTGAAGAATCCCAAGAACCAGAGGTCAGATAATTATGAGCTAGATGCACAATCCAAAGCAAAGGAGCAAGCTTTGCTAGAATGTCCACATATATATTGGATCCAGGCCACACGCCTGAAGAAATGCCCCTTACAATTGATTGGCTAATTATATTAAATCACAGAGTGGATGGTGATGACATCATTAAACAACGTTCAAACTATATCATTATATAGCTACCCAACCATGAGAATCCTGGCCCAGTCAAGCTGATACACAACCTTAACCATCACAATGACAAATTGTACCTGTTGCTGGTCGTGTCAGGAACATAGACCTTCAGATCTTCTGCGACTTCTTTCATCACCCTCTGATAACCTGACATTTCGTCTTTAATATAGTTGGGATTGTTTCTCATTAAGTATTCTCCCAGAAAGTTTATTGGATCAAACTTGGTTGGAGTATCAGCTTCTAAAAGCTTCTTCTTTTCTACTTGCATTAACATTTTTTCCACTCCGGGAACTAATGTGGGTAAAAGTTTGTCAAGCAAATATGCCCGAGTACTCAGTGATGTGCTTTCAGTATCAAACCACTCTTTGGCCAAACTATCCTTAAGGATTTTCTTTTCCGTCTTTTTTTCTAGCTCCTTCTTCAGATTATCTTCTTTTATTATTTTCTTCTGCATTTCCTGGGCTCTTGCATCTACTCTTTCAAAAAGATTTTTCTTCCATGGTGGTTCTAACTTTGGCTTTTCTTCAGCTTTATCTGTACTGAACGTCACTTTCACAGATTTTCTAACAACAAGTGGGGCCATGGAGTGCCCTTCTGGTGGTTTTGACTGCTCATCCAGATTTAATTCTGAAAAAAAGAAGAAAGAGAGAGAGAGAAAAGAAACACTAAATATAGAGACATTAGAAACAGAATTAATTTATCTAGGGGCTTCAGGATATTATTAGAAAGGAATGATTTTTGTATCTATTTATATTGGTGTACAGATAGGTAGACCTTCAACTGAAAGCCACAAACTCAGACATTGACTTAACCATACAGATTTATTGACTTAATCGGAAGTCATTCATCAGCACAATGATTTCACTTAAGTACCGAGACTGTTTTTACTGTTCTTCATATCTTATCATTAAAAGATAGCCATTGAAGGTCACAGGGGGAAAAAAGTCTGAGGACAAAGGAATTTTCTCTCTTAAAATCTCTGTTATCCAAGAGGAGAAGGCCTCGGAATCGCAGATCCAATACCGTTCTTTCCATTTCATTGACCCTAAGAACATACGAGGAAAGAGGGATAGGGTGTCCATTTCTGAGCTAGTAGTCACTGAAAACTTTATGAATCGCAGTGGAACACGGTCAAATCTTACAGTGTTGAAAGGTGAGTCTTTGAGGTTGAAGGTAAAATACCATTGAGGAAGAACTGTAGTCTCAAAAGAGAGCGGACCATGATGACACAGAGTGGGTAAAACCTTGGGGACCTTTATTTCCTTGTAGGGTATGACTCAAAAAACCCCAGCGGCACACATATATTAATAAGAAGAATATGGAATGTGCAGTATACGAATCTAGGAAAATTGGAAATCCTCAAAACTGAAATAGAATGCATAAAGATCAGTATCACAGGCAGCCATGAGCTGAAATGGACAGGCTAACTTTGGCTTTTCTTATTGTCTGTTTTGAATCAGACAATAATATGGTTTACTGTGTTGGGGATGACAAATTAATGAGGAATGGTATCATATTTGTCATTAAAATAAATAAATAAAAAGGATGTTTCAAGATCTATCTTGAAGATCTTGGGAATGTAACTGTAATGCTGTGAAAGGATACTATCTATACATATACAAGAATTGCAGTTAATAAAACTTTAATTCAAGTTTATGCACAAACCATTAAATCTAGTGATGAAGAAATTGAATTCTACCAACTTCTTCAGTCTGAAATTGATCAACCATGCAATCAGGATTCATTGACAATTACTGGTAATGGGAAATCAAAAGTTGGAAACAGAAAGAAATAATAGTTGCAAAATATAGTCTTGTGGATAGAAAGGAAGCTGAAATTGGTTGATAGAATTTTGCAAGACCAACAATCTAGTTATTCCAAATACCTTTCTTCAACACCATAAAAAGTGACTATATGAGTGGACTTTTCCTGACAGAAAACACATGAACAAAATTGACTACATTTGTGGGAAGAGATGATGGAAAAAGTCAATATCAGCAACCAAAACTAGACCAGGGGTCAACTGTGGAACAGACCACCAATTACTCATATGTAAGTTCAGATTGAAGTTGAAGAAAATTAAAACAAACCCACAAGAGCCAAAATACAATCTAGAGTAGATACCACTGGAATTTCAAGAAGATCTCACGACTCACTGAACACTGACAAAAGGTTTGAAGTGCTGTGGGACATATCAAAGACATCATATGCAAATGAAGCAAAGGGTCATTAAAAAGACAGGAAAGAAAGAAAAAAAATGAAAGTGGGTGTTATAAAAGATTCTGAAGCATGTTCTTGAATGTAGAATAGCTAAAGTGAATGGAACAAATGATGAAGTAAGAGCTAAACAGAAAATTTCAAAAGGCAGCTTGAGAAGACAAAATAAAGTATTACAATGAAACGTGCAAGTACCTGGAGCTAGAAAACCAGGAAGGAGAAACGTGCTCAATATAGGTCAAACTAAAATTACTGGGAAAAAAAATCAATCTTCAAGTTACAATACTGCAAGCTTCTATGGGCTATATATTGAATGACGCAAGAAGCATCAAAAGAAGATGGAAGGAAAAAAAGACACTGTACAAAAAAGAACTGGTTGATATTCAATCATTTCAAGAAGTAGCATATGATCAAGAACCGATGATATTGCAGGAAGAATTCAAAGCTGCACTGAAGGTTGTAGTGAAAAACAAGGATCCAGGAATTGTCAGAATACCAGTTGAAATGTTTCAACAAGCTAATATGGCACTGGAGTTACTCAACCGTATATGCCAAGAATTTTGGAACACAGCTACTTGAAAGAGGTCCATATTTGTACCCATTCCAGAGAAAAGTGATCCAACAGAATTTGGAAATTCAAACACCACCTTTAGTACCACATGTGAGTAAAATTTTGCTGAAGATAATTCAACAATAATTGCAGCAGTGCATCAACAGGAAGCTGCCAGAAATTCAAGCCAGATTCAGAAGAGGATGTGGAATGAGGGATATCATTGCCAGGACCAGCTGGATCTTGGCTGAAAGCAGAGAATACAACAAGATGTTTATTTGTGTTATGTTGACTATGCAAAAGCATTCGACTATGTGAATCATAACAAACTAGGGATAGCATTGAGAAGAGTGGGAATTTGAGAACATTTCATTGTGTTCACGCAGAGTCTGCACACATGGACCAAGAGGCAGTCCTTTAAACAGAACAAGGGAATACTGCATGGTTTAAAATCAGGAAAGGTGTGGCACCACGGTTGTATCCTTTCACTATACTTCTTCAATCTGCATGCTGAGGAAATAATTAGAAAAGCTGGACTATAAGAAGAAGAATGTGGAATCAGTATTGGAGGAAAGCTTTTTTTAAAAAATCATTTTACTAGGGGCTCATACAACTCATCACAATCCATACATACATCAATTGTGTAAAGCGCATTGGTACATTCATTGCCCTCCTCATTCTCAAAACATTGGAAGAAGGCTTTTTAACAACCTTTGATATCCAAATAACACGGACTTGCTTGCCAAAAAATGAGAAAGATTGAAGCACTTGCTGATGAAGATCAGGGACTGCTACCTTCAGTAGGAGTTGGAAATCAATATACAGAAAACAAAAACCTTCACATTTGGACCAATGAGCATCACGATGATAAATGGAGAAAAGAAGGAAGTTGTCAAGAATTTTAGTTTGCTTGGATCCACTATCAATGCTGGAAACAGTAGTCAAGAAATGTAACAATAAATCGCATTGGGCAAATTTGCTGCTCAAAACCTTTGTTAAAGCATTGGAGAGTGAGGATGGGACTTTGAGAATCAAGATGCACCTTCAAGTCATGGTATTTTCAATCACCTCATATGCATGTAAAAGATAGACAACTAGTAAGGAAGAGAGAGAAGAATGAATGCATTTGAATTATGGTGCTGGAGAAGAATATTGAAAGTACCATGGACTGCCAAAAGAACAAAACAGATCTGTCTGGGAAGAGATACAGCCAGGTTGCTCATTAGAAATGAGGATGGCACAGGCTGATGTGTTCTTCCATGTGGGCTTTGTTGCTTCTGAGCTAGATGGCCGCTTGTTTACCTTCAAGCTTTTAAGACCCCAGACGCTATATCTTTTGATAGCCG